CCCCCCCCCCCCCCCCCCCCCCCCCCCCCCCCCCCCCCCCCCTCTGTTTACGCACCTGGTGTGAGGTCTTGTGAATGGAAGCGCGTTCACGGATCACACAACATAACTATTTAATTTCAGCTACGAGAAAGCAAGGTGCACTGACAATGAAATACATGTACATGATAAACTGTATTCCCTTTTCGTTAGTTTATTGAGGAACTCCTTTCTTTGCTTCTCAAATCTCTCTCTCTCTCTTAGAACTGTCTCATTCTAGTGCTCTCTCCCTGTGTCTCTCAAGCTTCATAGCATAAAGGCTACTTGAACTGAAAAAACGGTAGAACCTGCTGGTAAACAGGGGGCTGTTTCATGAAACCAACTCTATGACAGTCATATCTTTGTCAGTGACCTACGGAGATGTCATGAAGTGAATAAAACCGTTTTCACAAAGCCATGACAGACATGATATCGATATATCGCAATACTAGCAACTCAAGAACATAGTCGTTGTCACGAATCCATTGATTTATCACGAATAACCCTAAACAAGTTTTGGGGCTAAAATTGTTCAAAAAGAAACATATTGTAACAAATCAGGGTTTTAGTATGGACGAAGGTTAAGCATTTTCTGTTGTACGCGCATGCGCTATAGCAATATGGCGCATCGTTGATTTAGCAATTACCAAAACTGAAGGAAAATGAGCATAAATTACATATAACAATCATGTTGGTGCAATTATCATGTTTCTTTTGGGGACAGTATTTGTATACTAGTATCTAATCAGGAATAAGGGGTTATACTGAAGATTATATGTGAAGATTTAATGGGATTAGCAGAAATGTTGGGTTGAAGTGTTATTTAGTAACGAGAACATAATTGTTCTTTTATATGCTTATGTATAGGGAAATAATAGGACGGTTAGGATTGTGTATTTAGGGCTTTCCATTGCACTGTATCCGATACAGGCCAGCCTCACCGAGGCTGGCGCTGGCCTTAGTCTTTAAAAGTTCAGTCTCACATACATGTAGTTTGCACTTTTGCTGAGTTAACCCTGAATGTTGATTGGATCGCATTAAAGAATTTCGACATTCAACTCACGATTGGTCTGATTTCTTAGAAAAGTGAAACCATAGTTAGACAAAGGGATGAGAATCAGTGACAGGTGTTAATAAAGCTTGATTGATTGTTCGAGGGATGTTCAATTGACTGTTGCTGTGTCCAAGACGTTTTTAGGTGACCGATTGCAGTCGATGGATGCATGATTGTTGAGATACGCCTGTGAGCAGTGAATAACTCCAGCCATCAAGCTACGGGCATATACTTTGTCCAAACGAACGACGGGGAGCGCCAGGCCAGACACGGGCATCCTGACAAAATACTCCGTGTCAAGCCAAGGTGGCGAATCGTTGTCCGCTACATTCTCCTAAAATAAATAAAAAAATAGTTCATTATCAAATGTAGATCATCAAACGATTTGCATATTTCTGTAAAGATTCTTAATTTGAAGAAAAACCGATGAGTGTTTTTTTCTTGACAATCCAATCAAAATGTAGTTGAAGGATACCGTAATGTGATAGTTTATCAATACGTACTTTTTTAGTTTATTGTGACGAGGAATTTTAGGGAAAATACCTTTTCTCAGCCAGTTTTTATTCCAGAGTCTCATAAGTACTCGATATAAAATTGATTTGATATTGAAAATATAATTTAGAAGAATTAATTAGAGAGGGAATAATAATGCACATAGGCCCCAAAGGTATGATGGTATCCTAAGAAAAGACTATGGATCGACTATGGACAACGGTGTGTAACATTCTTATCTCTTTTATTTGTATGTTATAGTTTAATGATTTGTGATTTAATGTTTATATTCAGCTTTTTAAAATTTCTGTATAATTTGTATTATCGCGCGACACGTGCGTTTATCTCTCACAGTCCAATAGATAAAACTAATTTACCAAATATATCAATTAGTAGGCGGTTTCCCGGCAAAAATGTTATCATCATGTATTAGTCAAAACATATTCTTTCACATGATTGGTAATAAAGAGCTTCCATTTCATTTTTTGAAATGGGGCGTTTCCAATACTGGTCTTTACCTTTAACCAATTAGATTTAGAATTATCTAAGTATTAGAAAAATCAAATTGTCCTGATTATAATTCTTGACAATATGACACATTAAAGCTTACAACAAAGGCCCAAGTTCAACAAGTCCATCTTTCATTCTGGATTTACAAAAAAAAACAAAAATATCAAATTTACAAGGGGTATGAAATAATAATTTAGTTTGGTTTGAAGAAGCTCTCAGCACGGCAAACAAAAGCTTACCTAAAACTGGTATTTTTTTCCTTCTAATTATGAAGGAAGATCTTACTTTTAAGTGACCTCTCCACTCAGATGAACCTTTTCAGTACTTGTCTTTCTTATTTCGCAGATCTCTTACTGAGTTACTAACTTGTATGGAGGATACCCAGGCCTTTCTCAAGAAACTTTCCAACAAAATGTGGATTAAAAAGTTTCTACAGAAAAAAAACAATATGTGATAAGTTTGACGGCTTATACAACAGATTATTGACCTTCGGACAGAGCCTAATTATATCACTTCAGGTAAGTTTTATTTTTCTAACTTTTTATTTATAGGGTTAGCTAGGTTCTGTGCAAAGGGGAGTTAGATCTGGGTCCCGTCTTATAAAGAGTTGCTATCAATTGATCCAAATCAATCTCAAGTCCTCCAATCAATCGCAAGTTTCAGTCTCCTACCTCTTATGTACGTAGTTGCGATTTACATGGTGACTATCCTACTTCTTTTTTTTCTGACATACAAACGGTCGATGTTGTAAATATAGTACTAGGACTAAAAGATGGCAAGAGTCCAGGATATGATGATATTGACTCCAAAGTTCTCAAGAAATGTATACATATAATTGCTATGCCTTTAACTTATATTTATAATGTATCTCTACAAAGTGGTCACTTCCTGACAAGTTAAAATTAGCAAAAGTTTTGCCTATATATAAGGGTGGAGAAAAGAATCTAAGTTCAAATTATCGACCTATTTCTCTTTTGTCCATTTTTGCCAAAATCTTTGAAAAATTAGTTTATACTAAATTGATGTCATTCATAAATAAATATAATATTCTTTAATAGATAATTTGGGTTTGCTCAGGATATTCTACTGCCCTGGCATTACTAGAATTTATTGATAATATAAATAATGCCTTTGAAAGCAAACATATTGCTTTAGTATCTTCCGTGACCTTTCTAAAGCATTTGATAGAATCAACCATGGCGTATTATTAAAACAAAATGAATATTATGGAATAAGTGGAGTATGTCTAGAATGGATAAAAAGCTATTTGAATATTAAACAGAAGTCAGTTTGTTTACTTGGGTGATATCAAGTCGTCTTTACTCAAGATTTCTGTAGGTGTACCCCAAGGTTCAATATTAGGCCCCCTTCTATTTCTGCTTTACATTAATGATGTGCAATATGTACTCAACTCATTTGCCCTACAATAATTGCTGATGACACCACCTTTTTTAAAAGGGAAAAGTATAAATGAACTAAATGCCATTATTCGTACAGAAATTCCAAAAATTGACCAATGGTTTGCAGCGAACAAGCTTATGATCAATTAAAAAAAGACTCAATGTATGATGTTTAAGAAAAGAAATAGACATCTTAATGATGAAATTGAGGATATATACATCAATAATTACAAGATTGATAAAGTATACTGCATAAAATTTCTTGGAATTGCTGTAGACGATAGCCTGACTTGGTCTTGTCATATTGATGAAATCATGGGGAAAATAGCATGTGCGATTGGAGTATTGTATAGAATTAGGCCTTTCATTCCTCTGAGAATTTTAACCAATTTATATAACACATTAATCTTGCCATACCTTTCTTATTGTAATATAGTTTGGGGGAAATGTTCAAATACTTTAATAAATAAGCTATATGTATTACAAAAAAAAGAGCTCTGCGTGCAATAACCAACTCTCATCCCAGAACACCATTTTTATATTAATTTTGTATTTTGATTATTGTATAATAATGTAAATATCTGATTACTTTGTAAAAGAGATCGGCCTTGAGGTGCATGTCATATTTTTTTTATTAACCAATTAATTTCAATTCAATAATTATCGCTTATTTTTCTGGTACAGACGGAATTCAGCTCGTACATCTCTGTCGATATGGTAAAACAATGGGAGGCCAATTTCAGTGCTCTCAAATTATTGCAAGATGATGTGAAAGATCTGAAACAAGACTCCAAAAGTCTAGGTAAAACATTTCAAAAGAAATCCTGTTAAACAGGATGAATAGGGCATTGGCTTGGGGATTAGCGTGGGGAAAAGTGTTTTAACAAAAAAATGATGCAGTCCTCATTTTATTGGGTTTTTAAATTGAGATATAACTGTAAGTCACTGAAATTACTTTTCTTTTATTGTGTAGTTTCTGAAACTAGAGTAACAAACCTAATATTCTCCTTGGTTAAACCTGTCACAAGTTCGAAGTCATTTTAATAATTAAAAATGGTGACTTTGGTTTGATGCACTTCCTTTGCCTTACTTGGCCTGGACCGAGTGTAGACCCAGCACAGGCAAGCTGAAAAAAAAATTGATTAGAATATTGTCCCAAGCATTTAATCTTCTATTCATTTCGTTTGGGCACTATATACACAATTTTGAAAATACTATACTATTATAGACAGGAATTCCTTCACCTAATAAATGTACATTAAAACCTGCTTTAGTGTCCAATAATTGGAACAATAACGGACAAGGCCTATTGGCCGACGCACACAGGTGCTCAACCAATCAGCAGGCCGCCGGCTTGGCTCAACAACAATAATGCCTGTCTATCGAGATCATATTGTTTTCCATTGAAGTGGGTGGTACTACAGGAACCTGTACATAAATACGACCTGCCTTTAAATAATAACCGCCTACTAATCAATATATTTGGCAAATTATCATATTGATCCGGCCTGTATAGATATCACGAATGTACTTCAACGTTGAACATTTGGGCATATATTTCTGTTTTTTTGCGAATTTAGATTGAAGTATTGCCATCTAAACCTCTGAAGGCAAATTTAAACAATATTGAATGGAAATTTTGCACCCAAAACCCTTGAACGGCAATTTATCACTACTGGTCTATATCTTTAAGACACGTTGATGACTAGGCGCTGTGGCATGCGCCTGTAATCCAGCTAACAGTGGAAGTTACAAACTGATTCAGACGAGGACGTAGGTTCGAAACTGAGTCACGTCTTTCGGATGGTGACGTTTAAATGTCGGTTCCCAGACGTAAATAATCACATCTGATTGAAACACGTCTGTAAAAAACCCAGGACACACATGTTGTGCATGAGAGAGGGGTGTAAACAAAACATTTTGTATTTATTGAAATGGTAGAAACTTGCTTTCTTATAAATACAATCTCTTTAATTTTCTTTCCAGCTGAAAATGTAGAACAGCTGACAAAGTTCATGGTTAGCAAACTAAAGTTCCTGCAGCAACTAAAACACCTACGGAGAGATGGTAAGTATACAGTAGTCTGTAGTTTAGTGTGAAGTGATCTTTACCTTTTATGTACTCTTTGTAGCGTACCAATCACCTAAAACAAAACAAAAACGATGACCAGCTTAAGCTAAAATGTATGAATTTAACCCAGCATTCTATCGCCGGACGGTTACAGAGTGTGAAGAAAATAAGAAGAGACATTTATGTTACATTGTCATTTTACAAACATAATTATATCTACATTTGTTTTTAAATTTAATTCCACTTGCACTTTATATTCAGATTGTAGATTCAAGTATATTTAAAACTTTGATTTCATGATTTATTTTCCATATTTGTTATCTCTTTGTAGAGGGGCACATTAAGTATACCGACTTCAGTTACATTGTTAAGCTTCATGATGGAAAATACGGCCCAATCTACAAGGCTAAACACCAAGGCTGGGAAGATAGGATGCTGGTTTTCAAAACTTTTGAAGACAAGTATGACATAAGATGCTGCTTATAAGTATTGGCTTGCATGGTGATGTAGATGTACAGTAGGCTTATTGTTGCACCATGTGAGAGAGGACTACTCACACTCTCAAGAAAGAAAGATTACCAAAGTCCTTTTCAGGACTCCCCAATCCTCCCCCTCTCTCTCTTACACGGTGCAACAGGGCTCCTTAATGGCAGTGTCGGCATAGGTGTAGAAAACAGTTTAGATGATTTATTAGGATAAAGAATGATTTTTTTTAATTTTTTTTTTTTTGGGGGGGGCGGGAAAACAAATACCGGTAGTTAGTTTTTTCTTGGGAAAAAAATATTGTGACATCAGCAATAAAAAATGAACTATTTGGCAGGAAACTTCTTTTATAGTAAAAATATTCAGTTTCTTGTTGTGCACACTCCTAATGCAACAATCTTACTATAAGGGATATAATAATAATTATTATCACTATTATTACTATTATTTTTTATAAAATAATTATTGTTACTATCATTATTATAAATACTAGTTTTATAGTTACCTTTTGTAATATTAGTGTTAATATTATTATCAATATTATCATTATAGTCATCATTATGATGTAAAATACCTATTTTGCCATATATGTTGCAGTGGTCTTTCTGCACGGAAAGAGCTGAAAGAGCAGTGCGGAATGTGGATGAAGCTCAACTATTCTCGTTTCATCGTTCAACTCTATGGGTACACGATTTCTGATGATGGTAAAGTAGTCTTATGATGGTTTCCTTGTGGTTTATTTCTAACACCATTCATTCAACCCATATTCATATTCATATTTATTTCATTTCTAACAGAAAGGTAAACAAAGATATTACATTTTTTTTTCATACATAATTCATTTTTTCAGGAAAACTATACAAATAAACTTTGCACATAATAAAATTATTACAAGAAATTCTTAATATATGAGGAAATTGGGGGGGGGGGGGGGATCCACTAAAAAGCAGTACTTAAGTTGTAGTTTGTGGACCCCCCAGTAGATCACAGTTTCTAAAGGTCGGAAGTGAATCAGTGTGAATTGTGTGATTGGTCGCATAGCGTAGCAAATCTTCTATTGAGATTGTACATAGGCGTGTTATATGAGTGGAGTGTGGGATTAATTTGTTTTTTAAAATCACCTAATTCGTCTCCTTGACAAATTTAATGTCTAGTTAGTATAGTTATATGCTTTAAATCTTTTTTTGTTATATCACATCCAGGTTGCATGTGCTTTGTGGTTGAATACATGCTCTTGGTACCCTCCGAAGTGTTCTCCTGGATGAAGCAAACCATCAATTACATGGGAACAACGAAAGAAGATTGCCAGGGACTGCGCTCAGGGTCTCTGTGCAATCCACCGTGGCCAAGGAAAGACAATGCTACATCGGGCAATCACTTCTACTAGATTCATGTTGGATGAGAACTACAAAGCTAAGGTTTGTAATTAAACCCCCCCCCCCAAAAAAAAAAAAAAAAAAAAAAAAAAAAAAAAATATATATATATATATATATATATATTATATATACAGTTAACAACTAAACTATTCATACCCTTACCAAGTTTAGTAATTTTGTTACTATGTGAGAAATCGAATTGTCTTGGTTTATGTGTCTTGATAATGAGACATATTAAAGCTTAAAAATAAAAAGCCCTATAGTCTAACCAGTCCATCTATTATTCTTGAGTTACAAAAACACAAAAAAAAAAAAAATTTGCAAGGGATGTGAATAATTTAGTTGTTGACTGTATATATAAAAAGGTGGTTTATAGATTAAATGAAATGTAAAATTGATTATGATAACGCCTGTTTTATGTAGAGCTTTTAACATACATGTACATGTACTTCAGTTGAAGCTCGAACTGACTAATCTCTGCATCTTCAAAGTGAGTTATCCACTCGAATGCACTTCTTAATTTTTATTTGCTAATTGTATTCATTACAATTATTCAGGAAAGCGAGGATCAGCTATTAACACTTAATACATGTACATGTCATCATTTTGACATGTTGGTTCTTACTTTCATTACAAGCTGGATGTGAAGATAATTTTTTATTAAGAGGGAGGACCAGTTATTAGGAAGCTCTCGCTCATCCTCAAATCTCTTTTTTCAAGCCATTAGAAAGATGAACAATGGTGACATAATCATGAATATTAGCCTTTCGCTTCCCAATTAAATCTACTACTAGTAATATACTACTACTACTACTACTTAACTACTACTATACTAGTACTACTAAGAATACTATTACGAAAACTCCTTCGAAAAAAACTACTACTACGAATACTACAAATACTACAAATGCTACTATTACTACTACTACATACATGTATACTACCACTACAAATCATTACGAATACTACTACTAGTACCACTCCTGCTGCTGCTGCTGTATGTTGCTGCTACTACTGCTATAGCTACTACATTTACTACTTTTTACTCCTAGTACTACTTATAATAATAATATCACCACTTAGTATCACTACTACTACTACTAACTACTACTTCTACTTCTGCTACTACTACTACTTCTGCTGCTACTACTATAGCCACTTCATGTACTACTACTGAAGTATTTTCATTGTTTATGCAGATCTCCGATAATGGTTTTGTGAAGTCGGCATCCAAGATCAGTACAAGCAAATTAGCCATGTCGTCTGACGGCAGTGGGAGCGTTGAAAAGGATGAAACAAACTACCTCTGCCCTGAGGAAACAAGTACTAGCTTTAGGCGAACCATCAAAAGTGAAGTCTACAAGTAAGGAAGAGAATTTCATTTAATTTCATTCTATTTCTATTTTTATTACATTTATTTATTCATCCAATGTTCATTGGCATGGATAATTGATTTGCTCTTACACTACTGCCTAAATGTTGTGGCATTAGCTGCTTCACTAACCCGGATGCTGAAGCAGTTCGGGTTGCTTCCTATAACCTTCTGCTAGCTTCCTTACAGCCTCCTTATAGCTTCCTTTTGCTTCCTGATATTTTGTAATGGATACTGAACCGAACAAAATGACTGCTTGAAACTCCTGCATTGCATATATTTTGTTTGTAAATGTACATACAATGTATCCTGCGTTAGTTGAATAAAAATGAGACAATGAACAAGAAATTATAAAACAATCCTAGGAGATTCAAAATGTTTGAATTTTTAGCTTTAAGCCTGTGCCAAGTCGTTACAACACTTTTTTTTAAGGCACTTGTAACAGTTACAAATGCTCAAAGTTCTGAGAAAAGGAGAAGTCTGCTTGAGAGTATGACAAAACAAATAGAAAGACTAGAAATATGTGAATGGTAGGGGAAAGAGAGAGAGAGGGAGAGAAGTGAGAGAAAGAGAGGGAGACAGAGAGAAGTAGGTGGGTATTTCTTACATTTTTTAAGCAGGAAAATATTGGGACTGAAATTTCGAGCAGATGTCTTAATGGAAATTTGGCTTTCCTAAAAAGAATACCTAAATAAAAATTTATTTTCAATTGCATCAAGAAAATTTACAAGTTCAGATTGTCATTTAATTCTTATTGTGGAATTTATAATCTTTATGTCTCTTTTTCTTTCCTATCACCTTTTCCTTGTCATTGTTTATTCATCCTTTAAGGCTTGGAATCATTTTTATGAAATAGCAGCAGGGAAAAAACCATTCCAGGCCAAGGAAGAAGAAGAAGGTAAGACTCTCTTGTATTCTGATGTGAAAATGTCAAATATACAATGTTACTCCAAGTGCCCCGTTTTTTATGTAGTCTGCAGGTAAATACACAATTCCATTAAGCCTTGAGCAGAACCTTGCTCCATCTGTCTTGGTAGAACCCACCCCCCCCCCCTCCCCACCAGCATATAAAACTGGTTAAAAGTAAAATGGTAACATTCATTTACCTTTTTTGAACCCAAAACTAAAGCCCCCCCCCCCCCCCCCCCCCCCCCCCCCCCCCCCCTGGAAAAAATAAAAATTATTTCCTCACAAATTGGACCCCAAAAACCCAAATAAGAGCTCTTACACCCACAGTCTTCTGTCTTTTTTCTGCATGGCTAATCGTCAACGAAACAGAATTAAGTCTTTTTTTCAACTCTGATTGTTGCTATGTCAGGCAGCCGGTGAAAACAAATTTGTTTAATCAAATTATGGAAGGTCAGTAAATAAACTTTCTAGAAATGTGATTTTTTTATTTCAAATTCAGATACCGTCCGCCAAATTGATTTTATGGTACCCTATCTTCAAATTGTCTGTAATCACTCATGCGCAAAATATGCATCATAAGAGTTGCATCAAATGAAAGAGGAGGATCTAAGCTTTAGAAATATGTGTCATTTATTCATTATAATTGTGATTAAGTTATAATAAAACATCAATAATTCTCGGTTACATTTTTTCTGGGACGCACTGTACATGTAGGTGGGAAGCCTTGGAAACATGGGGATAAATACACATTTGTCAAGGCTGGTAAGACAGAGCAACCTCCTGCAGACACGCCAAAGGACTTCAAGGATCTCATTGACCAATGCAGACAGGAGAAACCTTCTGACAGGCCTTCTACCTATGGTAAGTAGGTAGTGTAAATCCATATATTTTCATTTGTATGAAACTTCTGCGAAGAGTCCAGGTCGTGAAAGTTAAATGCCACAAAAGTTTGTGCTTACACAATGCATTTAATACTGGTACATTGTGTACAAGTTAAGCGATTTTCACAGGTGCATGGTACTATGTTTAAATTTACCGTGCGATCACTGATGACTGCAAATAATAATAATAATAGCCTAATAGTCACTCCAAATTTTATTAAACCGAAACGGAAATTATTTTTGCCCTATTGATCGTGAGCCCGCAGCCACTGAGCAGCGCCAGATCGACGTTGCTCTATCCCTTATTGTTGAACGCCAAACAAGGTAGCAACAACTCCCCTTTTTTTACGTCTTTTGGTATGACGCGGCCGTGTACAAATAGTTTTTTTTTACTAGTTTCAGAGGCATAAAAAAACTAATGGTTTCTGTGATTGTCAAGAGATGTGATAAGAAAACCCCTCAAAATATTGAAATCGGGTGATGAACACCATACCTGGTACCATTTACAGTTCTGATAATTACCCAATTTAAATCGGTGTGCCGATCATTTTTTTCTCCCAATCCCCCCAACCCCCCCCCCCCCCCCCCCCCCCCCCCCCCCCCCCCCCCCCCCCCCCCCCCCCCCCCCCCCCCCCCCCCCCCCCCCGATTTTCCCCCTATTTTTTCAATTTTGTCCTTATTTTCCCAGATTTTTCTTATTTTTACTGATGCAGTAGGTCGATATGGTAGAATGGGATCATATGTTAAAGAAAGAGTACGGTATACAGATTGTGAAGAAAGAACTCGTTATCAAGTTTACATCACCAATCAAATGCACCTCTGATCAGTGTATTACCGAAACAAGACTTTTGTGATAGATATCACGAGCCATTTACCACAAATGTAATTGTTTTCTCTCATAACAGAGGTTGTTTGCTCGCTTGAAAAGATGTGTTCTCCAGCTGAGGATTGAGAAATGACAAAGCCTTCCTGAATCTTACATACCCAAACGTCGCCAACAGAGCAACAACATCATGATCTTTTAGAATTGATGGATTTGGTCTAGTAGAATATGGTCTTTCACTACAGTCAAACTCTGACAATATTCCTTTTCATTGAGATAGATTTTGTACAAAGAACAACAACTTTTGACAGTAATATTGTTTGTTTGCACAGTTACTTCAAAATTCTGGTCACAAACCTTGTATTTACTTATCCTGCATTTTTCTTGTAAGGGGAGAGATCTTGCATCTCAAGTTGTACTTCAACAAAAATAATACCCTTAAAGGTATAGACCAGTCTTGGAAACGCCCCCTCTCAAAAATTGAAATGGAAGCTTTTATTCCCAATCATGTGAAAGAATATGTTTTGACTCGTACGTGATGACACAAATTTTGCCGGGAAACTGCCTACTATACAGTCAAACCTGCTTTAGTGACCACCTGTCTACAAAGACCACATTTCTTGTTTTCCTTGAAAATTGTTTCTCATTGAAACATGTCTTAAAGGAACCTGTCTACAAAGACCACTTTTTGTGTTTCCCTTGGGCGGGTCGCTATAGACAGGCTTGACTGTAATTTATATTTTTGGTAAATTATCATATCTATTCGACCTGGATAAATATCGCAAATGCACTTCAACATTGAACATTTGGGCATATCTTTCTGTCTTTTTCAAATTTAAATATTGCCTCTGAAGGCAATATTTAACAATATTGAATGGATATTTTGCACCCATAACCCTTGAAATGCAATTTTACCACTAACGGTCTATATCTTTGAGCACACTCCATGATCCTCCTGCGATCAAAATTCCAAAGAAATGACAAAGGTATTACATATGGAGGTTTTTATCTTCCTGATTTACATGTAGGTTCTATATGACAAATAATAATAGTTTTAACAATAATAACAACAATGATTACTTTTAATAATAGTAATACTTAAGTAATGATAATGATAATAAAATTATGAATAATAATATCAATATTGATAATGATAATACTAATAATAATAATACTTATAACAAACACAAACGATACCAATGTGTGAATTCAGTCAACTTTAAATGCCCTCAGCTTGTTACCAATGATTTCTCTTACAATGTATCATATGCAATATTTCAGTGTGCAAACAAACCTATGACCTGGGACAGTAATCTGATGATCTGTATTTTACCTTTTCTTTCAAAATTATCTAAAGAGCTACGAGAGTAATGGGGAAAGAGCAGATCTACTTAAAAACCTTAAATATGTTTTCATTTTGACCATTACTAGTTTGTACACTTTTGTACTCTAATAATTGTGGAAAATACATGAACTTATGAAATTATGAATTTATGAATGCTATGAAACGTGAAATTTTTATTCAGTGGATTAAAGATAATTCTCTGCATGTACATTGTATAGTGAAAAGGAATAAGAATGAACTTTGTTGAACATGTTCTCATTATTCTTCCACCCATTTCTAAAGCTGCATTCTAGATGAGGACAGTGGCTTAGATACAGGTGTGTGTGTGTGGGGGGGGGGGGGGGGGGGGGGGTAGGAGGGGGGGGGAGGACATGTCTTTAATTGAATGGCGAAAAAGAAAAAAAAATAGAAAATAGAGAAAGGGAGAAAAGACAGGAAAAATCAATGCCTGGATATCTCCCCGCACCCTCCCCTTAATAAATCGGTAGCCTTGTGAATCAGCAGTTCAATTTCTGAGTAAGACAGGTGCCACAGTCCCACCAATTGAGTTGTACCAGTTCCCTCCTCCTCAATGGATAGACCTCAGGCTATGCCACTGATGCCTCAAAGCAACCTTAATCTAGGCTGAAGTTTATCTCTTCACCAGAATATCATAGAGGTTCATAAAATCTGTTAATGGAAGGTTGAAACAAATACGTATTGGATTAGGAAATTTACAAACCTAGCCAGGATGTAAATGAATTTTTCCCTCAAATTGTGTGTAATATTCCACATACCGGTAGAGGAAAACAAAAAAGGAACATGGAATTTTTAGTATTACTATTTTTTCATTATTTTGCTAATTAACACAAATTTAAGAAATCTGATGTAAAGGAGGGTCTCGGGCCTGAGCTAAAGAAACTATGTGACAATATACTCTAGCATTGTTGAATTCAATTACACTGAAGCATTATCAAGAGAGTGAAGGAATTTTGAAAGTGTTTATTTCTTCATGTTCAAATAAGACTCGTTTCATTGGGCAAGTCCAAACTTATTATCCCCATAAGTTTGATTTGATGTTTTGTTTTTACCAGACTGCTGAAAAGCATGTATGTAACTGGTAAGCAACTATGGAACCTATGGCTTTAATGAGGATTAATGCCATTAATGTAAATCAAAGAATGGATGTAGTACAATTATATTGTATTAGGACATGTAAATACTTTTAAACATGCAAATAAATTTTTACATTTACACAATTATTGAAGTGGAAATGGTTTTGGCTCTGAATAGGTGCCTTCTCATGTATCAGTTATTTTGCTTAACATTACTGAAATTATGTCATTTGATTGCTATTTTGTTTGTATTCCATGGAACTCTAATTAATACTAGCTATGCAAAAAAAATAAAAATTTAAATGATAATCATTCCTTTTATATGAAAATGTGGAATTTGGATCTCGTCGTCCAAATTTCCTCTGTGTGGGATAAAGATTAGAACTTGCATGTATCAGTAGCAGGCCTATACCGTTTGTTTATTGCTAACTTAATAATTGTTGAATGTATTTTCATTATTACCAATTATTAAACTATTATTCAACTAACTTTCCAGTGTTTTATATGTATTATGTTGAAATATTGTGCAAGGAGGGGGGGGGGGGGGGGGGGGGGGGGGGTGCGAAAGGCTGAAAAACTTTTAGACGAAAAAAAGAAATCGCGCCGACCAAAAATTCACTGAGCTGGGGGGGGGGGGGGGGTGGGGGGTTAGTGAGCACATTTTTTTTTTTTTTTGGTCCTCAAAAATTTTAAAATTTGCACCCCCTCCCCCCCCCCCCCCCCTTGAGCTACAGGGAGGGGGGGGGGGGGGCCATACCCCGCAAAAAGGTAAAAATCACGTGTTTTAACATGATTTTTTTTCTAAAGGGGGGGGGGGGGGCCACTGGGGGGACCCATACCTTGAAGCTCACCTAAGATAAATGGGTTATTTTCTACATCTAAATAGTGTCCCTCCAGCTTTGATTCTACTTTCTATACTTTTTTTTTCTTAGATAAAGTAATCTAGCCAAATTACTTGACATCTTTAAATCGGTGTCGTACTCAAAAGTCCAGTAGTTTACAAAATGTAACTCCAGATAGAATAACCAAAATCAGCAGACGGAATACTACTTACAGATGATAAGAATGAATTAAATTGTTTTATGCAAGACTCGTGATACACAGACTTGGATGATAGAAAATAGCAAGTACAAAGAGGTTTCGGTAAATGTCATATTTGTCTTGTATGGTACCATTCTCACATCAATACACATGTTCTATGTGGTATGAGCAGATACAATTTCATCATTTGATTCTATAGATTGACATACATGTACTTGTTATCCGACTGCAATTTTAACCCTGGTTGCCTATGCTTCGTATCAGATTTATTGTGACCCCCTGCCCCCAAATCGGTTATCACTTTTCATTCATGGGAGTGGAAGCGTTTTGTTTTTTTAGTTGGGGGGGGGGGGGGAGCACATGTGCATGCCCCCCCCTTTTTTTAGCATGTCCTGGGCACAAATACAGGTGTACTAGCAAACAGTAAAATATTTTCCTGCTAATGTAATGTGTACCATTAAGAGATTCATTACCACCAGCTGTCATAAGCGACCTAGGATGGCGGCCTTATAGTCTGCTAGTGGAAGATTTAAAGAGGGGGGGGGGGGGGGGGGGGAGGGGGAAGGGGGGCATCCCCCTTTTTTTTAGCAGAGTCTGCCACCATATGTAAATGTAAACGTACGTTATAAATCTATACAATGGTGTGATGCAAATTACATGCATATTCATATTTATTAATAGGAATACACAATATACAAACATGACTTTGGGGAGATAATATGTACACTTGCATCATCAAGACTAAAAACCTATTTTTAATTGTATCAAAAATTAATAGAAGTGAGACATCCTGTACACATATTATACATAACCCTGTAGAGATATCATTCATAATTACAAACAATGTTATAATGAACAAATTATGTTTAATCACAAATACATGTTATAATGATCTAACAGATGATAAAATATGATTACGAAAGCCTAATTGTGTCAAGAAATTTGCTTACATTGTATGATAACAGCTTTAATTCGTGAAAAATAGTACAAATGTACAGACCTAAAACCTATAATTTGACACTTTTCCAATTACTTAATTGCGGCTCACAAAAATAATTATGTTTCTATTTAAAATCTCTTGATATGACCGTTTCATATTTACACAAATTACTTAAACTAGATTAGACTAAATCTTTCAATAATACAGGTCATTGTGTTGCAAAAAATCATGATGTTCTTTTTTATGTGGCCAGCCTGTAGACAGTCTGGTTATGTTAATGATAAGTTATAATACTTTTGCTATGTACAGTTTTGTTCCTTTGAAAGTTACAAATCACTTTGAGATGCATCAAAAGACAATACATTTCAAAACAATAATGTGTACCATTAAGACATTCATTATCCCACCAGCTGTCATAAGCGACCTAGGGTGGCGGCCTTATAGTCTGCTAGTGGAAGATTTACTGAGAGGGGGGGGGGGGGGGGGGAGGGGGAACGGGGGCATGCCCCATCCTTTTTTTTTAGCAGAGTCTGCCACCATATGTAAATGTAAACGTACATTATAAATATATACAATGTGTGTGATGCAAATTACATGCATATTCATATTTATTAATAGGAATACACAATTTACAAACATGACTTTGGGGAGATAATATGTACACTTGCATCATCAAGACTAAAAACCTATTTTTAATTGTATCAAAAATTAATAGAAGTGAGACATCCTGTACACATATTATACATAACCCTGTAGAGATATCATTCATAATTACAAACAATGTTATAATGAACAAATTATGTTTAACCACAAATACATGTTAAAATGATCTAACAGATGATAAAATATGATTACGAAAGCCTAATTGTGTCAAGAAATTTGCTTACATTGTATGATAACAGCTTTAATTTGTGTGAAAAATAGTACAAATGTACAGACCTAAAACCTGTAATTTGACACTTTTCAGATTACTTGCGGCTCACGAAAAATAATTGTTTCTATTTAAAATCTCTTGATATGACCATTTCATATTTACACAAATTATTTAAACTAGATTAGACTAAATCTTTCAATAATACAGGTCATTGTGTTGCAAAAAATCATGATGTTCTTTTTTTATGTGGCCAGCCTGTAGACAGTCTGGTTATGTTAATGATTAGTTATAATACTTTTGCTATGTACAGTTTTGTTCCTTTGAAAGTTACAAATCACTTTGAGATGCATCAAAAGACAATACATTTCAAAACAATAATGTGTACCATTAAGACATTCATTATCCCACCAGCTGTCATAAGCGACCTAGGATGGCGGCCTGATAGGCTGCTAGTGGAAGATTTAAAGAGCGGGGGGGGGGGGGCATTTCTCCTATAACCCTTATAAAACAAATATTGCATGCCTTAGGGAGACACTAACATAAACATTGTTTTCCCCACTACCGCCCCCACCCGCTCCCCCTCCGGCTGAATCATTTGACAAAAAAGAATCAGCCTGGAATGTGAATACCTGGTTCTAGTCTTTCATCCACTTACTCTGTAACCTCTTCTCCGTCTTCTTCTTTGAGGTCCTGAATGCCTAATGACTTCTAAACTTTATTGTATTTATATATTTATATAATTTCCAGGTACAAAACAACTGCAAACGAAATCCCCCCCCCCCAAAAAAAAAAAAAAAATAATAATAATAATAACAATACAAATACGAACGAAAACAACAACCAATGCCTATATTAGGGATTGACCCAAATAAATAATTCTTTTTGGCATAGGGCTCTGCTCATGGTTGCAGTAACTACACAAATTTGCTCCCCCCCCCCCACAAAAAAATGAATATATCATATACATACAGAAAATGATCAGATTAAAGTTTTTTTTTAAAGGACAGGGCCAACAAAAGTGAGATTGCTCAAATTATGATTGTACTGTGGGAGGCATATCAGCAAGATGACAGTGTAAGGCATTAACGAATGGCCTGACAGAAATATCAATATAGAAGTCGGCTAAGGAACGTTAGAGTGTCCCAGACATGAAAACATGTATGTAAAGGGAAAGTACACCCTGATATTGAGTCGGTTTTAATAGAACCAGAGACAAATGAGAGGAAAAGGTTAGTTAAAGTTTGAGCAAAATCCGATTAAAAAACCTAAGAAAGTTAAGAATTTGTAAAATTTGGATTAATCAAACACAAATTGCCAACTCTGCGACATATTTTGCGAGGTCCTCTCCCACTTTCTCTGTACTAAACAAATCAGAAATGTTCAGTCAAACATGCGCTTTAAATATAATTATTGCAAATATGTTTCTGTACAACCCCCTGTCTGAAACAAATATATTCCGTCATCAATAACTAAGAAAATGAACATTTATGTCATTTTCTGTAGAAAGCATATTGAAGAGAACCTCGCAAGATACGTCACAGTGTTGTCAATCTGTGTTTCACTGATGTCAACAAAAATTCACAACATTCCTACTATTACTCGGATATTGCTCGCTAATTTATTTATCTAAATGTTCTACTTTAATTGATACCAGCTTCTAATGATTTAATGTGTTTTTGTATAAGGTAATAATAATAATAATAGTAGTTCTTATATAGCGTCAAGACACAACATGAACACAGTAGTCAAGAATAGGGCGACAGAGTAAACAAAACTATTCTTTAGGATTACTGGACTTGAGAGTATTAACAGAACGACGCATAAAACCACTCAATTTAGAACTTTTTGTTACCGTGCTCCGTTGATGGTCTGATCAGCTTAAAGAGATAGTTGAGTTCTGTTGCAGAGGGCGCTATACAAAATAATAAAAAAACTGAGTGTCAAATTTGAAAGAACATACAATTTAAATGACAAAATCATCTTTGTTTGATCAAAATCGGTTCAGAGACAGCTTAAATATCCATAAATAAATTATAACGATTTCTAATACTTGTTCACCACCACAAATATTAGGTAATTTGAAAAAGCCTTTGAGAAAACGAAATAGCGCCTTTACGCCGTATTTCAGCCAATGTCGATGTTGGCTTTTTTGTTGGCATTTTCAAGTTGGTTTTATTACGCACAACCAGCCGGCCCATGCATTGTTATTTTTAATAAAATAATCAATTAACGGTCACCGTATTTTTTTTTTAAAGAGGAGCTGAATTGGTATGATCGTATTGGTTAAATTTTACACATTTTGGGGTTTAAAATTACCTTCATTGCAATTTTAGGTTCTAAAAGGGCACCAGAAATGTCATAGATAAGAATAAGAGCAATAACCATGCGCTTTGAATGCATTTGCGGTTTGAAAACAGAACTCAACTATCCCTTTAAGTCATGTGGTATAACAACAACCTTTTTATAAATTCTAATTATTCTTCTTCTTCGCCCTCCTCTTATAATTCTTTCTTGCCAGGGAAGAATCTGTCCCTCAGGTCCAACAGCCTAGCCGTGCTGAGGGCGTCCTTCAGCCTGCCCTGTTGCTCTGTGACCGCTGTTTCTGCTCTCCAATTCAGGAGCATCTGACGGCTTCCTCTAGTCGTAAGTCGACCTTCCAACCTGTTGAGCCCGTGATACCGTGACTGTGACCCCTGCGTGACTTCTAGAGCTTGCATTAATCTGTCAAGGTGTTCATCAGTCTCGATTTCGTCGGCGATATCGTGTAGAAGTTTGTCGTCCAACCGCGTTGCGATAGCTGGTTGCCTTCTGGAAACATAGAAATATAAAGGAGAGGGATCTCAAGATTACGCTAACAGGGTTAAGTTTATTCCGAATAAATTACGACTCGCTTTGTCTTCTCATTAATTTTAATCTAAACAAAATAAATAAATTACTAAATATATACCGGTATTTAGATATCGCCTCAGAAGGGTGAAAGTATCCTTACTGTGCAAACAAAAGGGCTCGTCATGTTTTGGATTTGGTGTCTATATAAGAAACACCCAAGAATGATAGCTGATTTTGCAGACTGTAGTTAAAGAATTATTCTCATTTATAAATACTATTAACAATCATTTCGATTGCTCATCGAAATATCTAATTAGACAAAACTTCAACAAAGAGACCATATCCATCTACGTACTAAATACGGGGTAATACTTGTTCCATATGTCTCTTTAGAGAGACACGTTAGTCCAGGTATTATGTTGGGATATGCCTAGACCTGTCCCTATCGCAGTCTTTTGATACCTCGGTCCTGTTCCAAGCTGTAGAACATACAATTAAATCAAAGTTGTCCTTCTGATCTTGTCGGCGGCTAAGTAATTTTGGTTATTAGTGAGAGCACGGTGGTATCTTGTTGCAGGCTCTTCGCTCTCATACGAGAAGTGCCTGGTTTTAACGTCTTTGGAATTGGCACATTTGCCTCATTCGACCTACATAGTTATGTCAAATAGGACAATGAAAATGTTTTTGGTAATACCGTTGTGGCTAGGCCTATTCTGCCTAATTTGAAGTCCCTAATTTTGTTTTTATAGATACTATCTGTAGCAGCATAATGAGTTTTTGAAAGTATGTGCAAAGTTTCAAAATCTCCTTTTTTTAAACAGAAAATGGGGTGAATAAAGCACTGCAGTTGCGAATTGTAAATTTAGAAACATATATGACTGTAATTTTGCCAATAATGAATATTTTTCCACCATACTTTCAGAAAAAATTTAATTATATTTTTGTCACAGCATTTTGTTTTTTTAACAATTTTTTAGATGTTCACCTTCCAAATCTCTGCAAAGTTCATAAAGACAAAGTTATCATTGTTTATAATACTGTACTTTTATTATGACTTACTCTGATCCGATTTGTGCCTCATCTTTCCTTTCCTGAGACGCCGATGACGCTGCTTTAGACGACGACGTGGCCCCCTTTTGCTCCAATGGAGTTATGGTGGAACGCCGTTGTCTGGAAAAAAAAGGAAAGGTATTTTGTTATAGTTACACTTTGCGAAGTATTATCCCTACGTACTGTTAAATATTTGAAATGTTTAATTGCTCGGGAGCCTTTGCTAAACCAACCATAATGAATAGGGAAGGTGCCAAAGGAAGTGGAATTTAAAAAGTGACTTTCTGACACGAGATTCTGCGTTAGCTGGAAACGTTAAATGTTACTAGGTAACTCATTCAACATCGCACAAAGTATTGGATAAATGTCTGCCGGTATATAAATATGACATGTAAACATGTTATCAATACCAAAAATGCAAGGGCAATATCCATGTACCTTACAATCACTATCTTCTGTTTTCCGCATTCGGCTATACCGCACATAACAAAAGAAAAAATATCAGTGTATAAATACAAGGGAAGATATTGGACTGATATAGCGAAATAGGTTCAAAAGTATTGTACCTTGTCCGACAGCGTTTCAATTCCCTCTCTGATTGTCCACGGTGCGAAGGCGACAGCCAAAAACGCTGCCTAGAAATCCCTTTATAGAGAACTTACCTCACAAATAAGCAGGGAATTCATTCTACAACATAATATTCTCTATGCGTTCAAGGGCAGATGGGCAAAATTTGGGAGAATTGATTTTTTTAATTAAACGTGATTGTGTTCATTTTAAGTTTTCACGGCATGGTAATTTTAGTGTCACGATAAGCACTTACATGTTACAAGCTATATCACCATCTGCATTGAGAAAAATAAAAGAATATGTAGAAAGGTAAATAAATAGAGAAATGGATCAATAAAGTAACGTAGGAATTAAAAAAACAAACTAAATGCATGCATGGGAAATTTAGATCATCGCAAATTTCACTACAAAAGGAGAGATTGATTTTAAACGTTATTAACGAAACATTTTTAAAGCCCATCAAAGAACCATTACTTTCACAAAAATCACTTTAACGGGTCGCTACTAGTGATACTTAAATGTTTACAATGCTACCAAATTCTTTTTCAAATACTGGACAATAAAAATTGATAATTTTTCATTCTCCGTTTATCCTTACATAGCCTATGTTGGAAGAGTGACCAAATGTCATATAGTCAAGACAACTTTGAAGCAAAGACAAGCAAATTAGCGGGGCTTCACTACATCGTAGTTTAGTAAAGTAAGAGAGAGAGAGAGAGAGAGAGAGAGAGAGAGAGTGTGTGTGTGTGTGTGTGTGTGTGTGTGCGTGCTGGGGGGGGGGGGGGGTCTGGTTTGAGAAAAACATAGGCCTATGGCTATTGAAAGCTTATCAAGGAATTTCAAACATGGGAAAATACTATTCAGATTACAAAGAAAGAAAAAAAAAAGGCAAAAAATACATGACAAAAAAAAGGAAAGAAAACACGAAATCGTCTGCACACTCGCAAGCACTAATGCACGCGGCAATACACGCACACAAAAGGGCCCCGTTGTCATAAAAAAATATCATAGATGGTAATGTTTATAACGTTATAAGTACCAGGGCAACATTACCTAAGAGCCAATCAAATCAACGTTTCTATGGAAGTTACCATTAATGGCAAAGTAACCATCAATGGTAAGTTTTATGCAACGAGACCCAGTTACGTACCAGAGAATTTCGCATTGAATGCGTGTCCTTCGTCACAATGAGGATGGAAATTGAACTTGACATATACATCGGCATCACCGGTCGCTTCCACTAAGAAACTGACAACGTTTCGATCCAATCTACGAATATCATCTAGCGATACGGTCTTTATTTGTGAAATGAAACACATAAAACAAAATAAGGAAAACAGTCACAGGAAAGACTTTCAAGAAATCAAATAAAGAGTGATTTAAATAGCCTATTGCATTGCATGTTGAAATCACGTTCGGATTTATTCTGTAAATGTAATTTACGAAATAAATAAAAGTTGATCACATTATGTGAAATTTATTCCCTTGAATCCTTTGGGATCGCGTTGAACCAAAAACAGAATTAAAAAACAAGAAAGGTAAACAATTCTTTAATCAATTACGCAGTTAACCGATTCTCTTGTTTTGGCCACGATGAAGGCAAAGATTTGTTCCTATGACATGATATTTTCGTATAAAATGACATATTTGTATTGCATTAGTATGATATAAACATTGGGAGAAATGAGTGAAGAACATATAAAGCAAACATAAAAGAATGGTAAAGTGTAAGGATTAAGAATCCGATGTTTGTATTGATGATGGGCACAGGCGTAGCCAGGATTTTTCATTAGGGGGTGGGGGCGGATGTGAAGGATCGACTATTAGCGAATGGACATAATTATAGAGACTTGACTGTCTCCCATGGTGAACCGTGAAAACAATATATCTTTTTGTTCCTGGAAATCTATTTTCGTAATTTCAATTTATCCACATTTTGCTAATTAATGTTTATTTTAAAGTAAAAATGTGTAGAACAGGTGAATATGTTCTACACATTTTACATAATAGCAGTGAAAGGATGTGTCTTTGTCTACCACAGCAATAATTGTTGAGGGTAGAATGAGGAACTGTATATTTTGTCCTCTTTCTTTGTCCGTCATATTCATAGTGAGGGCACCTTTGCCCCACCCCCTGGCTACGGCAGTGATGATGGGTCATTGATTCGTTCCTATCACCCCCCCCTTGGAAATATAACATGATTGCTCTGCATTTTAAAGCATGCGTTCTGATATTAGCCAAAGTATACATTATTAATGTACTCTTTCGTTCTCCGTGACACGACCTCTCTCGACCTCGCATCTGATGTTCAGCTCGCCTCTGTTCCAGATCACGAACATTGTCTTTGTTGGAGCCATCTTGCGATAATCAAGATTTTTTTCCTCGGTTTCGATGTACTAAATATAAGAAAACAATTATAATTATAAGAAATAGAAAGTGGAGAATAAAAGGAAGAAGCGCTGAATCTGTTTGTGTTTCCACCATCAATTACATCAATTTATTTTGCCTTTGCATTTCTTTTAGAAATAGTTTTGGAAATTTGGAAAAAGATGCTACTAAATTTGTAATACCCCTTGTAAATGTTATGTTTTTGTGAAGGGCTTAGCTCCAAACCTAAAGGTGGATCAAATGAAAATGACCTTTGTTGAGTTCGTTTGGATGTTAGCTTTAATATGTCAGTCTCAAGAAATAAACATCGGGGTTTATCACTCTTTCACATATTTGAAGAAATATAAGACTTGGTGATTGTATGAAAAATTCATTTTCTAACTGTAAGTATGCATATACACATGTGTATTACAAATCTTACTAGAGAGAAGAAAAACAAGTGGCTGAGACATTTATGTTTAAAGCAATTACTTCCATGTAGGGCTTCTTAAAATTGATATTGATAAATCTGGATTTATAAAGCGCTTTATACGGAAAACCGTCTCCATTCGCGATACAGATAGGTTTAATATTATTAACGATTATACTGATGATGATAAATAATTACAAATACTTTTACTAATTAAATGATAATGATAATACATTATAAGCAAGAACTTGAGTGAAAAGGGAGGAGAAAGGGAAAAGTGCACAAAACATGGTGAAAGAGAAAAAATAAACAATAATAAAGCAAGCCCCTCTAAATTAACCACATAATCAGAATCATAAAAATGGCTTTAATTATTCATGTTTTATCCTAATTGCATATTTGTTTCACTTTATACTCACATTTTCAAGACCAGGAGTATCATTATACAGACGTAGATGGCAGTATTGCGGTTCGAGGCGACTCATTGATATGGGAAGGTAGGGCGTAGAAGCGACACGTTTTCCTATGAAGTAGTCAGAAATGACCATGAACATTTCACAAATTGAGAAATGGTTAATGTAGACTTCAAGGACATCTTTTTGAACTACGCAGCTAGGTGTTCCAGTTGATGACAGTTCTTCCTTTGTGACTGCAAGGGTGCGATAGATGTTAATGGAGAGAGAGAGAGAGAGAGAGAGAGAGAGAGAGAGACATTAGAAAAGAGGGACATGAAGAAAAAACAAAAAACCTAACATCATTAAAAAATAAATAATAATACAGTATGCTTCCCTTGTTTCTAACTCCCACCCCTCCCCCTCTCTCTCTCTCTCTCTCTCTTCCTGTTATCCACAGTATAACAAATCTTTCCCCTCCCTCTGCCCCAGATGTGTATATTGTCTTCACAAGTTTCGTCGCTGTGTTTGCACTTTGTCCACACCTCTTTAAAGTTATTTCTCATTGTTTCCACAAAAGGTGTTTTTATTGTTTCACACTTTATAGAGTTAAGGTATTGCACTCACCTTCCGTGTCTTCATGAGTGAAGTGCATGGTGACTTTGGCCTTGGAGGGGTCTGTTAACACCGCACAGTGAGGGATGACCAACTTTAATGGCCTTTCAAACGTGGTCCCTGAAGGTTCAAACACTACACCAGGGGAGACAATAGCTTTGTCATCGGTGAAAAGGATATTTGATGGGTGTGGCAGAACCTGAGAGAAATGTCAATAAATCGAGTCCATACAAATTATGTACAGTACTATTTCTATCCAATCTTTCACTGTTTTATAGTAAGCTAATCAAAATATGAAGTGCCTAAATCAAGTCAAACATAAACAAAACAAAATAGATGATTGGTAGTACAAAATCGAAAAAAGCAACGCAACCAGACATATCTAAATCTCTTTTCGTCATGCCTTTACGGAGTAAATTGCAAGAACGAACAAAATTGTTGTTGTTGGAATTTAGAGAGACTAATTAAAGAGAAAGAAAAAGAGAGAGAGAGAGAGAGAGAGGGGGGGGGGCCCTCCCATTCATGTCCTTAGAGCACCCAGGAAGGTTACATCATACATTTAGGGTAATTCTATAATCCTCTAGTAGAGCCCAGATAAAGGTGGAGAGAGAGAGAGAGAGAGAGACAGACAGGGGGGGGGGGGGATCCGACGCTTTACCTTAAGAGTAATCTTACAATCCTTCTGCAGCGCCGAGACGGGAATGCAGAGGCTGATTCCATGGTTCCGTAGATGGATGGTGCCCCCTCTTGAATTAATTGTCTTACTTGCCACGTCTGTTCCTGGATAATGACATTTAAAGTGTAACAATCGCCATAGAATATCTTACTCTGTTTTATAGGTGTTCCATGTCCGCAAAATATAATCAAAATATAGAATATTGCAAGGTCATATACAGGCTCTTGCATTATACACAAAAACGGCTCATGAGTAGACTAGTGACGCACTCGTACGTGCTCCTCGTAAAATAGGGCACGCATTTCCGACTTTGATATTAACGTACGTCGCGCTTTATGTTGTTTTTATATTTTTGTTTTTAGTCTTCATAAACTTCTGAACTGTTAACCCATGAAAATGTATCAGTAAATCTGAGGTATTGTTAGGTTTTATACGTAAAAGATGCACACATATTATATTTGTAGGTGTTTGGTACAATTTGTTAAAACATTTTTTATTGATAAATTGATTGTATTTCACTGATTTCCCAATAGTTCTTGCTCACCTTATTTTGATACTTTGTTATGCTAATGTTTATTAAAGATAATTTAAAGTTGTAGATTACATTTCAATAACTTTAGTAGGACTTATGGACCTACCAATTATATAACGGGGTTGGACCGGACCATGAGCCTACTCACTGCCCAAAGAGGGGTGAGAGGCGGGGGGGGGGGGGGGATAGGGGGCTTGTACAATTTCGGACGTTGAAGGTGTAATGCAGAGTTAATGGGTTAATGCAATCCGAATATGAACCAAACATTTATTGTATTTTTTGTTGAGGGTGAGGGTGATGGTGATAGGTCTGATAATGTCTACATAGTGCAACAAAATTAAGTAAAAATTGCCGTGATAATTTTTTTTTTTTTTTCGGTGGGGGGGGGGGGGGATATCTAGCCTTCGTAGCAAAAAAGGGGCAGAATATAATGATCAACGCAGAACAAACACAGGAAAAATACGGAATGTAAAAATAAATATGCATGCAGGTTCAGCAAAAGTTTTGTTTTTTAAAACCATATTATTAATCTTGATGGAATTTAGAATTGTAAAAAGCATTATATGCTGTCATCCCATGTTCACTGTCTCCCACGAGTTTGGATTAGGGCCTTATTGTTGGGGTCATCTCGTAGGAGAGGTTGGTACTCATGAAGCAAATATATATATATATATATATATATATACATATATATAAGCAAGTTTAGTGAAACTGCAATTTCTGACTGTGCTCAACTGTAGGAGCAAATGTAGATATAGGAGTTGGAAGTTAACACTTTCTTGGTACGAGTTATACAGACTGTTTCGCCAGAAGGCTCATCAGTAACTTACTGATGAGTCTTCTGGCGAAACAGTCTGTATAACTCGTACCAATAAAGTGTTAACTTCCAACTCCTATATCTATATATATATATATATATATATATATATATATTCATACAGTAGACTTGCGGATGCACCATGTGTGTGAGAGAGAGAGAGAGAGAGAGAGAGAGAGAGAGAGAGGGAGGGAGGATTGAAGAGTCATGAAAAGGACTGTTGGTTATCTTTCTTAGCTTATAGTTATAAGGAGAAATATAGCGCCGAATTCACGACGGATAGTCAACCTGTTCGAAACGTCGAGCGACTCCCGCCATCCATCCTCTCCAATCTACCTTTAGCTTTGGCAGTTTTCTCATTGCACAGTGCATTTCAGGCAAAGATATCAAATGATAATCCTCTTCATATCGTACTCTTTTACTTCACACTATGCATGAACTACACATGTTAAATCAAGAAATCTATATTGATATAGACATCTTAAATAATTTAATACTTGAAACATACTTCATTTCAGGATTTCCTAAATATTTGAAGTGGCAAACAAACACAAGCAAGGATGGTATTCTTCCAGAAGTAAATGAAGCAGTTTTAGGGTAATGTGCATAGAGAGTACTGTGTGTCTAATTTCCTGGCCCAACCTGGTTGACCCCAGTACATGTATGTAGGTCTACAAACATTTCCATTAAAAGGGCAATCCAGCCCTTGTAATAAGTTCGTTTGTATGAAAGCAGAACAAATTGGAGAAATATATATGGCAGAGTATGCAAAAAATTCTAGCGCTACCAAAAATAACAAAAATAATGAATGCTTGCAATATAAGAACACTAAATGAATGTGAATCTCATATTGGCAACTCGATCCCTGGATTAAGAGCACACTTTTTTATTTGTCCCGAAATTTCCAAATTTGGCCGATCGATATTGCGTTCCGTTGGGGGGGGGGGGGTGGGGGGGGGGGGGGTAAGGTCACCTTGTGAAAGGCAGTATGCTCTAAGATCGTGATAAATCGGCTTGCAATACCATGTAATACCATGCAATACCATGTAGGCTAAAGCCCCGCACACACTACATGATTTTCTTGCGATCTAATTTTCATAGAAAGGGCGGTTATATTAAATACGGAAATCTAAACAACCACTGCCCCCCCCCCCCACTATAGGTTCTAAACAACGATAAGAATATTAAAAACCGGAATATAAGTCAGTATAAAAGCCGAACCGGTTCAAATTGTCGCACTACTGGTTTGACGTTACTGCGATTCTGAGCTGATTTAGGTTCCCCCTCCAAGAGAGCGTGAATCCCCTACTAAAATTTAGATTTTATTAATCATAGGCCATGACTAGTCAGCTCCTTGGTCATTAAAATTCACAAGTTCTTCCAGAATCGGATCATAGTCAGATGGTGTAGTGTGCAGCAGGCTTAACTTGTTTATTTCATATGTCGAAGGGGGGCTTACACCCTACAGGCTCTGCTTTTTAGTCGGCCCTCCTTCCCTTTCAATTTCATTTTTGTTTAATGTATTGTATTGTGCAAATTGATCTATATGTATATAAATATTTTAATATGTTAAAATGTACCATCATTGTAAATATGAATGATTGAAAGAGGAACAAATAAATGAATTGAATTGAATTGAATTGGATGTTTACCTTCAATTTCTGGCCTTTCAGATGTCTTTTGGTTTCCTGTTAGACAATCAGCTCCACTTTCACTCTCAGCTAAGTCCTGTCTTATTCGCCTTGGAGAGCCTTTATCAGTACCGCTCAGACCATCGTTTCGCGTTACGATAATGTCATCATCATCATCATCGCTGTCGGAGTTACTGCTCAGGTGTTCCTTCTTCACATACTCATAATCCCCGAAGTCCTCCAATGATGGCATGTCATCATGTCTGGAAAAGAGTTTGATAAAATGCATAATATCCTAGACATAATGACATTGCGATTAGTGAAGAAAATCGTAAGTACACTAGATTCAAGAATAACTAGGGTACACATTCTTTTGTTTAATAAAAATGCAAGGTGACAAGAAATTATATTAATACAAATTACATTATTTTGATCTCGTATGATTTTGTATTATTATTATTATTATTAAGTATTTGGTGTCACATGTACCTAGGAGGCGAAAAGCTAACTGAATCACTGTAACCCTCGGGTCTCTCCTCCCGGTATAACTGGTTGGGGTGTGCAGGTGGACCACTACCCCAGGGTTTCCCGCTACTCTTATACGAATAGTGCAGTGGATTCTTAACGTACAAAGGTAGTGACTCTCCTGTGAACAAGGCCTCTATTTAACGTCCTATCCAAGAGACGGAGTGTTTTCCACAATAACAAAGCCTGCGTCTATGAAACAATGGGATGGGCACATTTAACACACAACCCAGGCTTCGGTCATCCGCCTGGATTGGATTCGAACCCGAGATCTTTGGTTCGACATGCAAACGCTTTACCGACTGAGCCAACTCGCCTCCTTTTGACATCTTTTTAAAACTCTATTTATATCACACATACAATCTCCTTTTGCGCCATTGTATTTATCGCGGGATTAATATACCAATGTCTTAAACCAGTATCGAACGCTGTTTCAAGTACAACATTCATCTATACTGTACCTGGCAGGAATCAATTCCTTGAAATGCTATAGAGCGCCGTAATGGCAGCAAAGCTAAAGCTGGAGTAATAATCTCCAAGTTTGTAAGCGCTTAGTAATTGTAATAAGCACTATATAAAAACTGAGTATTATTAATATTATCACTAGTGTTACAAGGGTAAATTGCCTTGGAGCTATTTAAGACGAGAAATGGGTAATTCTGCAAAGCACAAAGCAATCATTCTGTCAATTGTTGCCAATTCTTTTGTGCAAAGTTGCATGTGTGGCAACCAAGCGATTGTGCAGACAATAAAAGATGGAATCCAAAGGGTAAAGGATATCGACTTACGTATTTTCACGAGCAATCTTCTTCAGCTCAGCATCCCTGATGTAATTCTCTAGATCTATGGGCGTTCCATTCAGAACCATGTCGCAGAGTGCCGCGGCAGCATTGTTATCACCTCCACGATCTCTAAAACGCTTGCGAATCTGGGAGAAAGTACAGAGCATCAAGTCAATCAATCTTTGCACAAATGTAGAGTAAATTGGTAATTTGTATCAAAACACCAAGTCAGGATACTCGAAAATCGGAGAATAAAATAAAGGACCACTGGTTATTATTTGGGGGAGGGTACAAATTGCTTCAGAAAGATTTGTTTATGAAGATTCGTCCAAATTAATGAGCATCTAAAATCATGGAATCAAACAATAATCACATGGAGGGTTCAGTGACACAAAGACTTAACTCCATATTTTGCCAAAATGAGTATTTGATATAAAAAATGTTAAAGAAAATGTGGGTTTTCGAGGAAACACAAAGAGCTAACTCCATCCAACACCCCGTTGAAATCAATGGCTAGTGAAACATAGACTTAACTCATTAAAGCCCAAGTGCTCAGTGACACATAAACCACTTTTTTTATCAAAATGGAGTTACGTCTTTGTGTCACTGACCCCTAGACATGATCTTGTATTTGATAATAATAATAATACAAATGATGCTTATAAAACGCTTACCACGGAAGTCTCTACGCGCTATAAAAAGTAGTTTCTGTCTAATATAAATAGAGTCAGTTGCTATCAGTGAATATTTATGAACCCTAGCTGTCGAACTGATTGTTGCCTTTGAACTCCTTCATTTTAAAGGGATCGTTTAACAATGTTAAATCTGAGATACACGGCCCTACATGTTATCAGTGTCTGTGATATGGTGTAATATTGAAGCCCTAAAAAAAAATTGCGCTTCAAAATGATCAAGAAGTGCCTCAAAAAAGTAAAAATCTTTGAGTGCCCGGTTTTACCATACTCGTTTTCCCCAATAGACTGTAGTGTAATGAAAACCGACAGGTGAACGGTTTTCAAAATTAGTAATTCCAATCATAAATATCTTGATAATCAGACAGGCGATCGGCTTGTAAAAGTCATGGGGTTCCTGACTGACTTAAAGGTTTATAATTATCATTGCATCATGAGCTAAATCCAGAATTTTAATTCAGAACCTGAGACAAAGTTACCGGATCCCTTTAATGGTGGCAGCGGTGGGATAGATATCGTAGTAATCGAAAGAATGTAGACTGATACTCCTTCATTCACATGGTGATAGCAGTAGGAAATTAAACCTAGGAATTAAAATGATTTCTCTCATTGTATTTTGTATTGAATATTACATGGATAGCATTCATCCATATATGTCACTCCATTAGGGAAGTCATCTGACCAAAACCAGGCCACTGATGAAAGTGACTGCAGGATGTCTGAAACCCCTTCATTAACATTAGGTGCACTGTCTGGAATATTACACAGCACCAAATATCATTCCTTCTTATCCATCTCTCCTTTAGGGCAAGCATGTTATGGAAACAGAACAAACTGAATGCCATCTTACATAAGCGCCTCACTAATATAAGCCTGAAATAAAATTGCGTTTATAGTATGTTATTCTTTTCCCGCCAACAAGGTGTAGATCGGGGGGGGGGGGGGGGTGAACTGGCGTTATTATGGGAGAGGGTCGGCCCCCAATAACGTTCAAACTTGGTTTATTTCTAAATCAATATCGGTGATTTACAAATGTTGCCGAAATTACATAATTTTTTCCTAGATTTAGCGAGCACTTATTTTTATAATTTTTATTTTGACCCCGAAAATTTGAAAATCACGCCGGTCGATAGTTCGCTCAGTGGGGGGGGGGGGGGGGGGGGGTGTGGAGGACGACACAGTGAGCGCTTTCGTTTTACTACCCCCCCCCCCCCCCTTGAGCAAAAATGAAAGGTTAATTTCTGGTCACAATTTTGTTTGGCAGGGGGGCAAGGTCTGCTCGCACCCCCCTTGATCCGCGCCTGCTCTGCCCCCTGGATTCCACCTTAGGCCCTAAGGTGGACCCCTGGACGCTCATCTGACGGTTATTAAATGCATAAAACCCCTGAGCTTCCGAGGGCTCCGCCCCCTCGACCCCAACAGGAGGCCTAAGGTGGGCCCCTGAATGCCTAACTGTCCGTTATAAAATGCATTAAACCTCTGAGCTTCTGGGAGTTCAGCCCCTTGGACCTTACGCCAATTAGTGTCCTGCCAGTGTCATGAATAAGGTATAAAAATAAGATGTGACCGTAATTAAGTGCTAATACCCCCCGAGCTTCCGGTGGCTCTATTACTTAGATGGTTATAATCACTTAGGTCGATCGACAACTAATGGTCGTTATTTTCCGACTAAAAGCCATTTTCAAGCCCTTCGTTTTGAGGGAAGTTCTAATTATATTAGTATTGTCTTTCAAATGCCGCTGGAATTTAACCTTTTCATTTTTTGCCTGCAATTGGGACATAGCACAACATACCGAAATATCATCGAAGCAGCTTTAAAGTTGGGATAATAAAACTTCTACTGGGTTCCACAACGTACATGTAAAAGTTCAACTTTGTATTGTAAGACATTTTGTAAAACAAGAAACTGTCAATTGCATGGCATTGTTAATTATGTATTTCGTGAGTGGACAAGATTCTCAAATGTTTAATGACTATTAAAATTAAATCAAAAATGATTACATTTACCTTTCGTGAAAGTTTCTTGCCACAAAACTTTTATCAGTATAGTCATAAAATTGTAATATCTCGAGAGTGTTTGGATTTTAATACAGTTTGAAGTAAAACAGGATTACCTTTTCTGGTGATGTGGATAGAATGTCCATTACGCGTTTAACATTGTCTCTCTCAGCGGCCTTCTTCAGTGTAGATTCTTCGTTTTCTTCGCCTGAATCATTATCGGATAAGCTGTCAGCTTCTGTCTTGAATATTGATAGCAAGGCTTTGAGGATTTCAATTTGTCCAATTTCATCTGGATCGGTGGAAGAAGGTACCAATAATAACAATAGTAACATTTATTTTTAGTAGGCTTCATAATTTGGTATATACTGGACATGGGAATGTTTCACGAAACCATCGGAAGAACACGTTCACAGGCATCCATTGCTCATCTTTAATGGTAAGTGCATCCTAATAATAAGTTAGTTTTAATGAAAGGAGAAATTTGAGTGAAACAGTTTAGTCAAAGTTAGAACGAATTGCAACCAAAAATATGCTGGTTATGAATTTCTGAAATTGTAATCAATGAGGCAAAAATTGGCAACGTTGTGACGCACATTGTGGGTTTCTCTCTCATATGCTCTGTACATAAAATATCATATTTCTGTCTACTAATTAATGAAGTAATATATCTGTTTCACACAAGGATTGTATAAAAACATATTTGCAATGATTACTGGGTGCATGTATAATTGAACATGTTCTTTAGGGAAAATAGCCATTTCTGAAATTTTTAGTACAGAGCAAATGGGAGGGAACCTCGGAAGATACGTCACAGAATTGCTAGCTTATGTTTGATTGATAGGAAAAAGCTAAGGATTTTTAGTTCAAAGGCCACATGGACTTTCATCCCTTTGTCACGTTCTTAAGGTAACTTTTCTTTTACAACACTTCAAACATCTTTACAGAAAAGGACTAATTGTGAATAGCAATATTAAACACAAGTCCTCCAATGGTGAATACAATTGCGGCTTCATGATTCAAATCACCAAGCTTTCTGTTAGTTTAGAAAAATCCTGCTGCATTTTTCATCTCGAAAGTCAAAATAGCCATTAAAAACAAAAGGTCTTGAAACTAGCTTCACTGAAACGTGAGTATACATGAAACTGCAGAACAAATTAATCACATGCATCCCAACCTGTAAGAAATAAAAAATACAGTCAAACCTGTCTATTTAGGCCACCAAGGAAAACAAATAAAATGGCTACTATATTTGGTGGCCTTTCTATACAGGTTCTTTAACAAACATTTTCTCCTGTAATTCTAATAGATATCACATTCACATGGTACAAATGACCCCCAACAGGCAACAGATCTTTCAAATCCCACTCTGTGCATTCTAGAATAATCTCTGCCGAAATTCATGGTGGTGCTTCATGAATACCTTTTCTTAGCCCTCTTGAAAATCCTTCCATCTGTGTATCTTAGAATGTACCGTTGATTACATAGTTTTGTGACCATGCATGCACACCGTAGTGGACTCGAAGTTTTTATATCAAATGACCTTTATCTGCCCATGCGCAGATATCATCCACAAACTGACTTATTTACTCTTAAAATCAGTTGAGTAATGAGCAAAAACTTTTTTTGCGGGGGGGGGGGGGGGCACAAAATTACATGGGGTGAAATAAATATAAAACGATGAAGCGACAGAACGAGGCTTTAGCGGCGAGGCAGTGGACCTACCAAGCGGGGTGGGTTTGGGAGGGGGTTCTGACATCCTTCCAGAGTAGGAAGCATTTGCAATTTTAGAACCACATTAGACGCATTTTCAGGCACTTCCTGGAGTAATATGACGTAAAACTGCTTTCTCCTACTCCCTCCAAGAGTATAATATTAATATTATTGCTTTTATAGCGCTTAATACATCGGGAATGTCCGAGTTTCAAAGCGATTTACATTATTACCCTCGGATTCTGGCTTGCCCGCACACAATGTATGTAAGAGTAGGGATCTTTTGCAATTTGCAATTTGAGAACCACATTTGGCGCATTAATGTCCACCCGAACATCCTGGAAAAAAACCGATCTGTCACGTCGTGAGACGTTGTATATGCTTCGTTGCTGCACAATGTACAAAGACGATGATCCGGTACTTCATCAGTAGTACTTGCAAAAATTATATCGAGTATATAAACTGACGTTGCTAATAATAGAACCAGCTCTGCATGAGGATGTGCTCTGAGGATTGGCTTAATATTTGATATTTTGCAGAATTGCATTACTCTCCATGTTATTGTATTTGTAAAATAGACGCTTTGCTGATCACTATAGAGGAGATGGTTTATCCTAAACATTACAGGAAACCATAGTATATCCAGAAGTAGTAAACGCTTCCCATAGCTTTGGATAACAAAACTTGTTTGCAGTCCCATCTATTCAGTCTGTTGTGTACAACCATGCATCGAAATCTCAGAATGCGTAACAACAAGAAGAACTAGACATAATACTTGTTTGGAACAAGTATAGGTGGGCTGGTCAACTAAAATTTGAGACAAAATAGAGCAAAAATAAGCGAGATACTTCTAAAAAAACAATGTCATTGATGTAATGATGTAAACGAAATTCACCTTCCATAGGCATAACACGCAACTTCAGAAATTTCTGATATGTGCCCTTTAATCGAAATTTTTACTCTGATGACGTCATCAAAATGAAAAATGATTATCATTCAACTTGTAGAGAATTATCTTAGCTACAACATATCGAAATTTTGAAGAAAATCGATTAATATATACAGAGATACAATCAATTTTACATAAATATGCTGACTTCATAATATGCAAATTCGTATTTTGAGTTCCAAGGCCATTATGATGATGTCACGATACACTTAATGGCCAAATGAGACATGGAATAATATTTCCGACTCATACTCTATTTAAAAATGAAAAAACATTGAAGGTCACGGTTCATTCCAAAGAGCTATAATGGATTTTGTATAGGCATGTTTTTGCCCATATATGCTATGTATTAAAGAGCTCGCGCGCACGGACATTTATCTTGAATTGACGCTCATCTTGTTATTAATGTTCATAAAGAGATGAACATGGTATCAAATTCCTCAAAAAAATATGAGAAATATCATGAAAGAAAAAAAATGGCGATTCTATGTTGTGTAATGGTGAAACGCGCGAAAACGCGCGCGCATGCTGGTACGCGCGATTTTTTATAAAATGCTTTAATTGACCTGAAACGCATGCAAAATAAATTTGAGACGATTTTGAGCATTTAATTTTTTTGCGCGCGCACTGACGCGCGGACGTACGCGCAAGCGCGCATTTTTTGACCGGAAATTGACTGGACTGATATTGACCTTGATCATAATAAATATGAATGAGAAATGATTTTTGGTTATGAAGATATGATCATGAGTTGATTTTCAGAAAATTTCACAAAATGGCGCCTAGATGACGTCATCAGTCAAGGTCAAGGTTGAAAAGTTTGCTGTGTTTTGTTCATATGCCTATACATATGTGTGTTAAATTTCAAGGTATTTGATTGAACCATTTTCAAATTATCTTGAACACAAAAAAGTGGGTAGAAATAAGAAAAATAAATAAATAAACTAGACATATAATACTTGTTTGGAACAAGTATAGGTGGGCTGGTCAACTTAAATTTGAGACAAAATAGAGCACTGAAAAATAACTGAAGCGAGATACTGCTTAAAAATTCTTAAGAAACAATATCATGTAGTTTCATGACGTGAACGAAATTCACCTACTATAGGGATAACGGAAATTATGAAATGTTTGACATGAGGCCTTTAATCGAGATTTTCACTATGATGACGTCATCAAAATAAAAAATAGTTATTACTGCGCTTGTAGAGAATTGTCTTAGCTACAACATATCGAAATTTTGAAGAAAATTGATCAATATTTACAGAGATACAATCAATTTTACATATTGCTGACGTAATAATATGCAAATTCGTATTTTGAGTTCCAAGGCCATTGTGATGATGTCACGATACACTTAATGGCCAAATGAGACATGAAATCATATCTCCGACTCATACTCTATCAGAATATGAAAAAAAATTGAGGATCTCGGTGCATTTCAAAGAGCTATAATGGATTTTGTATAGGCATGTTTTTGCCCATATATGCTATGTATTATAAGAGCTCGCGCGCACGGACATTTATCTTGAATGGACGCTCATCTTAATATTAATAGTCATAAAGAGATGAACATAGTATTAAATTGTTTAAACAAATATGGAATTTATCATGAAAGAAAAAAAATGGCGATTCTGCGTTGTGTAATGGTGTTACGCGCGAAAACGCGCACGCATGCGCGTGTGCGCGATTTTTTTTTAAAATGCTTAAAATGACCTGAAACGTATGCAAAATCAATTAAAGACGATTTCGAGCATTTTAAAATTTTGCGCGCGCACTGACGCGCGGACGTACGCGCACGCGCGCGTTTTTTGTTCTGAAATTGTCCGGACTGATATTGACCTTGATCATGATAAATATGAATGAGAAATGACGTACCGTTATGAAAAGATGATCATGAGTAAATTTTCAGAAAATTTCACAAAATGGCGCCTAGATGACGTCATCAGTCAAGGTCAAGGTTGAAAAGTTTGCTGTGTTTTGTTCATATGCCTATACATATGTGTGTCAAATTTCAAGGTATTTGATTGAACCATTTTCAAATTATCTTGAACACAAAAAAGTGGGTAGAAATAAGAAAAATAAATAAATAAATAAATAAATAATAAATAAAGGCGATTTTAACAAAAATATAAGGTGGTCTGTATTAGATACAGCCCACCTGATAAATAAATAATAAATAAAGGCGATTTTAACAAAAATATAAGGTGGTCTGTATTAGATACAGCCCACCTGAAAATATGCCAGGAAAATTTCTACCTACACCACAAGGCCAGGAGCCATCAAAGAGGCAGCCTTTTATTGCCCATTTGGGCATTGACGAGGCGGTACAAGAAGCGAGGGGCATGACAGCTGATGGGGGCAGCATCAACACACAGCTCAATCATGGGCTGTCTGAGCAGCTAAGCGAGAGTATGGCTGGAGACAGTCAAATCTCACAAATCATTTCCAAGGCCGTGGATGCAGCTATTAAAGCTGCATTGCCACATATCATTGATGCTGTGAAGGAGGCATGTTTCTCTACTATTAAAGCAAATTTGAACCCTCATCTCCTGCGAATCCAATTCAAGCAGGATGAGATGCAGCAAGAGATGAGGAGGGATAACCTCCGCCTTACTGGTCTGCCAGAA